TTATTAGCCATATTGCTCTGATTTCGATCGGTGATCATTTCTATAATAATGCTAGAGAGATGTGTCTAGCTCGGGCATGTGAATCTCTGTGTTTAGGGGCAACGTAACTCTGCATTCGAGATCATCAGTGAAGTCCTTTTCAGGTTGTTTGTTGAATAGGCTAGCTATATGCATGTTGAATACATGGCGTTTATATATGTTGTTACTTGTTGTTAGTGTGGGGGATCTGGATTGAAGCTGCAGTTAAGTCATCGATAGATTAATGGATCCAGAATGTTTGTTCTACAATTAATTATAGCCATTTTGGTTCGAAAATTAACTTGCAACCGTCAATGCTAAACTGTAAATAATGAATGTACGAGTGAGCCATGAATTACCTATGTTTACGTCTCAAAACTCAATCAAAACACTTCGGCTTAGATGTTGAATTTTTTTTTTTATCTGAAGGATTAAATGAACCCCTGAATTCCAAAGGGAAGATGATTTGTCATGGATCCAACAAGCCAACAAACAATCACTGGTTGACGTTAGAGATACGAGTCAAGAACGATAAGCAATAGAAACTGCCTGCATGCGTTCTCAATATCCTATGTATCACTCTTCACTCATAAACCCTATTGTTCCTTTCAAATCCATATATATATGACGTGGGAGCACGTAGCATGTCCATGCATGCATGAGAGCAAATCATACAAATCTTTCTTGGAACAGAATGTGCCCCTTACTTAATTACCTCTTCTCATATCTTGGGCATGGGGGATGAACCATGATCGAGCGAAACCAGTCCCAATCCGGCTCTTCCTTCACCAAATGACTTTCGTCGCAACATCCACCCTCATAATCACCCCATTCCGCGTCCGTATCATAATCAGGAGGAAGAGGGTCTAGGGCCGCTTCCCGCGTCGCCAGGTCAAGAAGCGCTTCAGTCAGTGTCTGCCCTGCAATTTAAGTAAGAAAGAATTCGCAAGATAGAAATTAAATCAATTAAGTAGCAGTAAATATCGAAAGATGCCACCTACACAAAAAGGGATAGATAGATGAATTAGAATTACCCTTAGGAAGTGGGGTTGGACACAGTCCTGCCAACCATTGGTTGTTGACTACATCTTGTTCTGTGCGCTTCAAAATCGAGGGAAACAATCAAGAGAATTCAATCACAACAATCAAAATCGAGGAGCAAGCTGCTGGCTTGGACATGAAAGGGGGGATTAGTAGTGCAAAACCAATTAAAGAAAGATTAATGGTAGAATCTGCATTAATGCTTACTTGTGGTGGATATGGATCAGCAATCACAATGGAACCCAAAAAGGCCTTCTCTGATGATGTCGTCTTCTGATGTGAAGAAGAGCCAGAGTAATTAGCAGCTGTGGAGAAAGGATAAGAGTTTGTGATCATGGGTTTAGTGGATGAGGGGCTGCTTATTCCGGTGATCTGCGGCCGTAGCAGCTCCTTCTTCCGCTCAGAGGTGGCAAACATGGGTTTAGTAGATGAGACAGAGGCACCACTTTTCCCTTTGGTCAGCCGTAGCAGCTCCTTCTTCGGCCGTGCAACTGCAAAATTAAGCAAAATCTAGAGGATGAACTAAACAATCAAGCAGCGAAGGTGGCGGGAGAGCCCTAGATGCTCAAAGGGGAGAATTGAATTGAATTGAATTGAATTACCCTTGTTTCTTTTCTTTGTCATGCTCTGCAAAATCAGCAAGGAGGAAAGAGGGCATCAGGGACAAACATACATTAGGTTTCGCAGCAGTTATATGAAGCCGGTTCCGATCTGGCGCCAACAAACAGCGGCAGGAAGCTAAGAAAAGGATCGAGGTTCAACGAAAAGCCAGTTACGAAGATTTATGCCAATGATCTCTCCTTCAAACTTTCTTCGATTCGCGGAATTAGGTTGCAGAGGATCTCCTTCGGGTTTTCTCCAATCGGCCGAATTAGGTTTTCTAAGATTTGCTTGCCTGAAACAGCGGTGTCTCTATCAAGAATTTCATAGAAAGAAGGCAATGATGGAGAGTGGAGACCTTCGTAATTGAAATCAAACGAATTTACCGAAGAGCAAGAAAGCGACCGGCAAAGATTTGTGCCGACGATCTACTTCAACCTTTCTCCAATTGCCGGGAATTAGGTTTCTTCAGCTTTCCCCAAAGCAGACGGTTTTGGACTTCGAGGGAAGATTTTTTTTCTTTTTTTTCTTTCTGGGTGATATAATATAAGCAACAGAGTATAGTAAGTTTCTGGGTAGCCCAATTGCTTGCAAAAGCCCAAATGAGACAAAGGCCAGAACTACACTGAAAGCCCACACCCCCTCTCTGAATTTGTTGTGTTCAAAAAAAATTCCATGTTGGTAGGAATTTAAACTTGAATTCAACATTTTTCACTTCTCCCGTCTAAGTGGCCCAACACTATCACCAAAGAAATGTTTTAAAGAAGGATCCGATTGATGATTAATTTTCTGTCTGCTTGTCGTTCTCGTGGTTTAAAGTTACGTAAACATCAATATAATGAGCAATGTAGTCAAATCGCGTTTTAAAGCCTAAAAACTTACGTTTTTACGTTTCTAGGTCACCAAAGCGCTTCTACGCAAAATCACAGTTTTTATAGCTAATGTAGTTAAAAACGCGCTTTAAAACTTTAAAGGCTTGTGATTTTACGCTTCTAGATCATCAAAACGTTTCTACGTAGAAACGCGATTTTGACTACATTGATAATGAGTACTTAAATTAAAATAAAATGAAAGAAAAAAGAGAATCAAGAATGTGGAGGGCATCGTGTCCAATATTCTCCATCATTATAATTATATTGACTTGTACTGAGAAAAAAGAACTAGGACACTGTACGGAAGTTTCTGAATGCTTATTTGTCGGATAAATTGTCATGATAAAAGAGTACATTTGATAATTTGCGTTACCGTATATGAAACTTTTAACTTGATAATAAAAAAATAAATACGAGCTGTCATTCTTTTCAACTTGAACACCATTTGAGTGATTAAAAACACATAATTAACATGAGAAGCATTAGAAATTCAATGGATACTATAGTCAGTGCAATTTGAAAAATTCAAACACAATGATAATATTAATAAGGATTTTTCTATTGGTGTTGTGATCATTTCAAAGATCCTCAGACGGCGGTATCTTATGTAGCCGAAGTTCACCGGCAGTGAACCCTTAGACGGCGGCAGCATATGCAAACCGGAAGCATGAGCCGGATCTACAGTTCCTGAGCCTCGTATACTCCAACTCCATCTTCCTAGCTAGTTCCTTGCCGTATTTAGTTGGAACTGAATAATAAGTTAGATGCTTGCCGATTCGCCCAGCCGGCCAGCCCGGCTCAGGTTAGGAGGATATAGAAGAAGGCCCAAACGTACGTTCACTGCAGAGGACAGAGGTCATTTCTTGGTTTCACTTTTAAATATGAATAAAATATTCCTATTGCTTAATTATTATTGTTATTATTATGTTATTAATCAAACAGCAGAGAAGTAGAGGATGAAGGTTGCAATGAACTTGGGATTATCCCCTAATTAATCTCCATGTGGCACAAATTGTGTCTTCGCCAATTCATATATATCAAATTGGCTCATCCGCACTATCTTAACTCCTCGAAGAACCTATAAAAATAACATACAATGGTCTGTTGGGACTTGAGAGTAAGATGTAAGAAGTGAACTAACTAACTCATACCTCTCTAATTCAAGATGTTTCCACAAATAAGTTACGGACACATTTTATGATATTTATGACTTTTGAGTATAAATCATTTTATTAATTCTTTTTAGTTTTGCGTAACTTGTTCTTCAAATCCCTAATATAATAAAGGGTAAATACAATTTAATATCCAAACCTTTCATTTTAAACAATTTAATAGCCAAATCTTTTTGAAAACAATCTAATATCCAAATCGTCAACTTTCCGTCCGTTTGATCGTTAGTTGACACTTCAAAAAAGCTTTGTTTAGGGGAAATTGTCACAATACAACTTTGTTTTCTTGTTTTGGCATTGCAGATGACTGAATATTTAGATATTCTATACCATCATGGTGGAGTCATGGTCTTCTCGGGTTTGGAACCACGATATGTTGGTGGTTTTTCAGAGAAGATATCGATGGATATTGATGAAGCGTCGTACTTCGAACTTTTTTGAAGTGTCAAAATAACGGTCAAACGAACGAAAAGTTGACGATTTGGATATTAGATTGTTTTCGAAAAGGTTTGACTGTTATATTGTTTAAAATCAAACTTTTGGATATTAAATTGTATTTACCCTATAATAAACTAATAAACTTTCGGGATGTCCCAATTCTTCTGTTACCTCAGTGACAATGATGTGCCAATGTCTTTATTTATTCCATCACCGATGCTTGAGGTTTAGCCTCCCATCTTTCTTGCAACACTTGGTCACAACCTTGATTTGATAACTTTGCATATTAATAAGGGTAAATACAATATATTAGCCACAACTATTATGAAACGGAGAATTATAATCACAATTATGAAAATTCAAATTATTAGACATAACTATTGTTGCGAGTCAAGATATGGCTAATTGTCCGTTACTGTTATTGAATTTTTTACGGAGAAGGCCACGTCATCGGCCACGACAGCGGCCACGTCGGAATGCTTTTAATTTATAACTTTAAAACATAAAAGTTTAGTCAGTATTACTAACGGAATTGTTAACAGATAGTTAACATTTGGCTAATAATTTGAATTTCCATAGTTGTGACTATAATTCCCCGCTTCATAATAGTTGTGGCTGATATATTGTATTTACCCTCTTAATAATATTGATTTTTTAACCCGTAAAAAAAAAGCATACAGATACATGTATAGGGCCAATTTTTTCAATCCTTAATTAACACCACTCCAGCCATTAAAAGAACTAAAAAGTAACATCAGGAATATAACAAACTAAATGATTATCATAGCCAACCAATGCAATGAAAAAAAAAGAAGAGTCAAACATAACAATAGTAATAATAATAATACTTATGATAAGTGAATCAATAGTGAAAAACGTAGATGTCGCACTCCACGACCCCGTTTCCAGTCGTAGTATCAAAGGAATACGTTTTGAAATGAACCTTTCCACGTGCGAACCCGAACACTCCGGTGCCTCCGACGACCGGCATCTCCCTTATCCCGGCAGCAAGTATGGGGTTGCGTCCCAACACAGTGACGGTACTTTCTCGGTACTCACCATCCGCCGTAAACACAAAGTTGACTAACTCCACAAAAGCCACGTCGGTCCTGGAAGCGACGCCGTATAGCCCCTGAACGCGTCCCACCGTGGTGGAGTTGAGCTCTGGTTCCAACGTCAAAGGGTTATCCACCATGGTTAACCGCCCAAACAAACCGGCCGGGTCGTTGAAATCTAGAGGACCTTTAGGGTTGAGAGGCAGGGCCGTGACGTTTGGGCCGGCAAGGAGGTTGTGGTAGTAGAAATGGAGGTGGGTCAGCTTCTCATTCTTCAGCGCCATAGCTTTTGCCGACAGTTTGGCGGAGAAAGGATGCGATGACATTAATCTAGCCTCGGAAAGTAGAATGGAGAGGAGGAAGAGGGTGATCAGAACGGAGAAGAGGGAATATTGTTTCAGCAGCATTTTGGCCATGGTATGGTAGAATCAGTATTAATGAAAGAACTCTTTGAAGAATGTATGTGCTATAGCTAACTGAAAGCTTTTTTTTTTTTTTTTTATCTTGTATATATGTTTGGAGATGAAGGGTATAAGATTGCCTCTATTTATAGCTAGAAAGCGCAAGCCAAGGTTCCATCGCCGGAATGAACCTTAGACGGCGGCATCCACTGCACTTGCAAAAAGACAAGCCGCATAAGACTTTTTCAGCTTCACTCAGCCAAAAACCAAACGAGAAACCTTCAAAGAATGTTCAGAGCAGGGCCGGCCTAGAGGGTGTGCTGGCTAGGGATGGCAATGGGTCGGGTCGGGGACGGATAGTGCATATCCGTTACCCTACCCAAAGTAGTTCGGGTTTTACCCATACCCATACCCACATAAGAAATGGATAGAAAATCAAAACCATGCCCATACCCGTTTGGGTTTCGGGTATCCACGGTTATCCATGGGTAATAGTTTCTCTTTATAACTTCAACCAATATTGTTATTATTCACATGTATTCTCGCATTACCTAAGACAAAAAGTATGACAATAATTCACTAGAATGAAGAAAATTCATTAAAACAACACAATTTCATGAACAAGATTATATTTATATGCTAAATATAAAATATATTAGAGAGAAATAATGATTATTTCTAGACAAAATACATATGCATGTGTATATCGGGCGGGTTCGGGTTGGATAGTGAGAAAACCATGCCCACCCATTACCCGCAATATTCGGGTTCGGGTTTTACCCGTACCCGCTAAAAGTCCTTCGGGTTCGGGTTTTACCCTACCCGACAAGGTCGGATTCGAACGGATATCCACGGTTACGGATATTTTTGCCATCCCTAGTGCTGGCCCGCCCTCCGGCACAGGGCCTCCGAATATTAGGGGCCTCCACTTAGATCCGTTAGTTACCGATAGAACATTGTAGATTGTATTTTTAGTATATGATTGATTGATTATGAGTATGATGACGATTTTAATAGATAATTTTAGCTATAATAACAATTAAAAATGATATCATGAAGACTACGAAAATAAGAATGATAATAGATAATTTTATGCGTAACGTCTATTTTTTATCCAGACCTTTTTCAGATTCTTTTATAATATCCAAACCTGTCGAAATACTAAAAATTAGCCGAATGTTAACTTTCGGTTAGCATTTTTGTTAGTAATATTGACTTGACAACATGATACTGACTTGGAAGAGACACATGAAGGTCAAGATTCCAAAATTTTAGTACTTTAACTAAGAAAAGAGTTACAGAATTATTAACAATAACGTAAAAATGACTAATATTTTGGTGCATTATGAAAGATTTGGCTAATTAATAAATTTTTAAAAGGTTTGGATAATATAAAAGAATCTGAAAAAGGTTTGGATAAAAAATAGACATTACCCTAATTTTATTTTAAACTATGTAGAAAGATATTACAGTCATTTTTAGTTTTATTATAGTTAAAAGTCAATTTAGACCACGTCTCAATTTTGGAACAAGGCCCCCACGAAGCATTAGACAGCCCTGGGAATTTGGTTTTGGTTTCTTCGTCAAACTAGAAACGTGATCATTTATCTCTTTTGTAATCATTTTCTGAGACTATGCATTTTTTTATAATTATTTAATAATTTTTATTTTTAATAAATTTGTGGAGAAAATTTTTAGGGCCACATTTTAAATTTTCGAACAGGGCCTCCGAATATCATGGGACGGCCCTGGTTCAGAGGGCAGACAAGAGACAACCATACAAACACATGAAATGTTTATCTTTTAGTCATGGTGATGCGTATCTTACCTCAAAGGAGGCAATACACACAAAAAAAAAACCAAAAACCAAAAACCCTTCGCACAATGTGCAGCAGCAGACACACATGAAATAGCTAGAAGTTCTAAACTTACAAATCAGAAGCTGTTCTTGATGAAGAGCTTATCAATGAGAAGTTATTCGGCAAAAAAGGGCAAACAAAGCACAAAGAGCAGATTAATGTAGGAGAGCCATGTAACAAATTACATGACCAACCGTACCTGTACTGTACACACATGCTAGGAAGAATAGATATCTACCTTGCAAATAAAATAAGAAACATTGATAAAAACACAACTGCAAGAAGATAGAACTTGCAACAAACTAAGTTTCAAAGCCCACAAATGATGAAAGACACTCTTTTTTTTTTTTTCCATATGGATCCCGGAGAACCTATATGTATGTAAATATGTACGTGACCAACAGCAACAGGAGGGCGCGGCTGAAAATGCTCTCCACCAACCAATAAGAAATAGAAACGGTAGCATGCATTCTCAATATCCTATCTATCCCTCATAACCCTATTGTTCCATTTAAATCCATGATGACATGGAGCATGTAGCACGGCCATGACACCAAATCATACAACTCTTTCTGGAACAGAATGTATCCCCTACTTTACCTCTCCTCATATCTTGGGCAGGGGATGAACCATGGTCGAGCGAAACCAGTCCCAATCAGCCTCTTCATTCTCCAAATGACTTCCTCTGTGGCATTCACCCTCATAATCAAATCACCCCATTCCGTGCGTCGGAATCATAATCAGGAGGAAGAGGAGGGTGCCGCGCCATTTCCGCCTCCGCCATATCAACAAGCGCTTCAGTCAGTGTCCTCCTTGACCCTGCAATGTTAGTAAGGATTTGGAAGGTGAAAATCTAGTAGCAGCAAATATACAGAGCACCTACACGAAAGGGAGAAATGAGCTACTACCCTTGTTAAAAGGGGTGCTGCTGACTAGATCATGTTCTGTGCGCTGCAAATTAAACCCAAGGAGGAACCAACAAAAGAAGTCAATTACTTCAATACAACGGGGTCAAGAACCAATCAACTTACTAGTCAGAGAGAAGAGAAGGATCTCAAAGGAAAGGATACTAATATACAGAGTCTGTCCGAATCAAACATGACCATATTACACCTTTAATCGACCCTTTTAAGAAGAAAACACCTTTTAGCTAGCTGCTGGCTTAAGCATGACAGGGGATTATTAGTTAAAACCAATTAAAGAAAGATTGCGGTAGAATCTGCTTGCTGCTTGCTGCTTACCTGTGGTGGATATGGGTCAGCAATCACATCGGAATCCAAAAAGGCCTTATCTGATGCCGTCCTCTGATGTGAGGAGCCAGAGTTAGGTGCTGTGGAGGAGGGCTCAGAGGTTGTGATTATGGGTTGATACTTGATTGGATGAGCGGCCGGTAGTCTGGGTCTGCAGCTTCTTATTTCGCTCAATTGCGGCAGTGACATAGCCTAGTACTGTGGTCTGCTGCAGCAGCTTCTCCTTCCGCGTAACAATAGAAGTAAGAAATTTCGGGGAATGAAATAATCGGAATCAAGCAGGAGACCCCTAGAACAAGAGAAAGGTAAAGAGAAACGAATTACAGCCTCCTCGTCTTCCGACATAAAAACCAATTAGCAAAAACAGACAGACAGAAGGTTCCGGAGCAGGTATGAATAATGAAGCCAGTTCCGGGCAAACGCCAAAGTACAGCGGCAAGAAGAAAGAATCGAGATGAAACCAATAGCGGCTTACGAAGATTTCTGCCGATTATCTTCTTCAATTCACGGCAATTAGGTTGCCGATGATCTCCTTCGAATTGGCGGGAATTAGGTTTTCTAAAGCTTTCCCCAAAGCAGACGGTTATGCGATTCGCGGGGAATAATGACATGAGGATATCGCAATAATATAATAAACCTTTTAAATTTCCGGCATGGCCCAGTTGATGCAAAAGCCCAAATTCAGGCCAACCAATTTTTACGGTGACGGACCAAATGTATTAACCTGGGTTAGTTAGACCAAAGGACCATAGTTTATGAGTAGAACGAGATTAGTTGAAAACCCAGTTATGATCAGCTTGCCTCTTCTTCATTGAATACCCTTCTAATTCTATGGTTGAAGTTAAATTATATTATTTAATCATATCCTTTTCTTTAATTTAATTCCAATTTCAAAAAACTTATACAATGGTACGGCATGATATTAGAGCATGAAATACTTTTCTTGCAAAATGAATATAATATTGTAAATCACATTTAACACAATTGTTCGGTATAAATAAACGAAAATGCAACTCAACGAATGAAAATTATTAAACGAGCAATTGTATAGATTTAATTTTGAATTTATATTTTAGATTTTAATTATTAAACAAGCAATTGTATAGATCTCATTTCGTTCCCCTTCCTGAGGTTAAAAATTAGGAGTTATGCAACGGCTCCCTTTTTATATTTTACATTTTTGGATCCATGGATCTAAATGACAAATTATGATTTGGTACTGTTGGGTCTAGTATTAACCATGGACCAGGAAACCGGATCGTACCGGCCGGTTCAACCGGTAAAACCGGAAACCGGACCAGGAACGATACGGTAGGCTGTTTGTGGGAAGAATACCGTGCCGGCCGGTTTTTCCGGCTTAACCGATACAAAACAAAAAACCGCCCGGTTTTGGTCTAACCGGCGGTAAGCTGTAGGAACAAAAACTACGTCGTTTTGGCACATAAAATAGTAAAAAAAAAAATCGGCCAAAAACACAAAAACCCTAATCTATCAAAAATCTGGAGCGGCTTTCATTTCTTGCGTTCTTTCTTCTCCAGCCGTCCAGCGCAACCCCGCCCCGCCGCTCCAGCGCAACCGGCGACCCCCGATTGGCGAAAGCAACGCGTGACCCGCGATCCTTCTCCGCCACTCTGCCGTTCATCTTCTCTGGCGAGTGGCGAGTGGCGACCAACGAAAGATCGAGCAGATCCGCCGCTCCGCCACGCTTAGGAATGGCAGCGGTGCAGATTTGGGGCGGATCGTAGTGAATCCGTGCAGGGAAGCTAATGGAGGACAGGAGTAAGTAAGTCTATTAGAATTGAGAATTTGGAGAGGTAGATTAATAGATAAAAGGCTGGGATGAGATTGGGGTTGTGCGAAGAAGCTTGGTGAGAATTAATTAGGGATTTTGAATTGGGGTTGGGGTTTGCGAACAGCCACACAGGTCTGGGTTCGTACAGGAACAGGAGGAAGATGAGGAGAGAGGTAAGGATAATTAGGTGTTTGATCCAAAAGTAAGAAAATGAAAGGATGTTTTGTGGTTTATGATTCGTTCAAAGATAAGAGGCCACATGCCCCTTTCCAAACCACTAGAACGAATGACTCAAAACCACTAGTAATGTTGCAGTTTGTTGATTGTTATATTAAATATGCCTATTTAGTTTATTCAGATTTGTTATCCGGTATATTCCGGTTTTATTTCGGTATTATTCCGAAACGATATACTGAATCTGTCGGTACGGTTTTTTAACAAAAAAATATTTTTTAATTACAAAAACGGTATTTTGCCGGTACACAACGGTTGAACCACGGTAGTACCACAAAATACCCTACCACTAGCGGATCCGGTATGACTTCCGGTACGGTTTCCTTTACCATGGTATTAACCCGCCTAATACGGGCCCAAGCCCACCACAAAGCGTCTCACCTTGGGCCCAAGCCCATTCTAGGGTCCAGTACACCGGGGGGCGTCCATCACCGGGAGGCGTCCAGCCTACCCGGGGGCGTCCACCACCGGAAGGCGTCCATTCACCGGAAGGCGTCCATCGACGGAAGGCGTCCACCACCGGGAGGCGCCCACCGGAAGGCGTCCACCACCTGGAGGCATCCATCGACGGAAGGCGTCCACCACCGGAAGGCGTCCATCGACGGAAGGCGTCCACCACCGGGAGGCGCCCACCGGAAGGCGTCCACCACCTGTAGGCATCCATCGACGGAAGGCGTCCACCACCGGGAGGCGTCCAATGGATGCCTCCGACTCCTATATAAGGAGGCCAGACCCTCCAAGCAAAGGGACTTCTTCTCTCCCTTCCCTCACTTTACCACTTATGGTTCTCTCTCTAAACCCTATCTCTCTCTACATTTCTCTCTACACTCTATCATATATCTATTCTAACTTGATCGTCGGAGTGTAGATCACGGGGGCCGCCCCCGACTCTCCACAGGTTTCTTCCACTCCCGAGGAGATCAGACGAGGAAGTCCGGATCAAGGTTCCACACTAATCCCCGGTACTAATCCGGGTCAAACAGGTACCTATACTTTTTATATTTTACATTTTTTGTACCAAAAATTGTACGAAAAATATCATTGGAAAATTACGATTTGGTACCTAAAAATTTTCATTATGACATTTTAGTACCTAAACTTTTTATATCCACCAATCCATGGATCCACCAATCCATTTGATCCATGAATCCACCAATCCATTTGATCCATGAATCCACCAATCCATGGATCAATCCATTTGCCACCTCTAGTTCTAGTTGATGCAAGGAAGATGTTGAATTTTTTTTTTATCTGAAGGATTAAATGAAGCCCTGAATTCCAAAGGGAATAGGATTTGTCATGGATCCAACAAGCCAACAAACAATCACTAGTTGACGTTAGAGAGATGAGTCAAGAACGATAAGCAATAGAAACTGCCTGCATGCGTTCTCAATATCCTATCCTACGTATCACTCTTCGCTCATAAACCCTATTGTTCCTTTCAAATCCATATATATATATGACGTGGGAGCACGTAGCATGGCCATGAATGCACGAGAGCAAATCATACAACTCTTTCTTGGAACAGAATGTGCCCCTTACTTAATTACCTCTTCTCATATCTTGGGCATGGGGGATGAACCATGATCGAGCGAAACCAGTCCCAATCCGGCTCTTCATTTGCCCAATGACTGTCGTCGCAACATCCACCCTCATAATCACCCCATTCCGCGTCCGTATCATAATCAGGAGGAAGAGGGTCTAGGGCCGCTTCCCGCGTCGCCAGCTCAAGAAGCGCTTCAGTCAGTGTCTGCCCTGCAATTTAAGTAAGAAAGAATTCGCAAGATAGAAATTAAATCAATTAAGTAGCAGTAAATATCGAAAGATGCCACCTACACAAAAAGGGATAGATAGATGAATTAGAATTACCCTTAGGAAGTGGGGTTGGACACAGTCCTGCCAACCATTGGTTGTTGACTACATCTTGTTCTGTGCGCTTCAAAATCGAGGGAAACAATCAAGAGAATTCAATCACAACAATCAAAATCGAGGAGCAAGCTGCTGGCTTGGACATGAAAGGGGGGATTAGTAGTGCAAAACCAATTAAAGAAAGATTAATGGCGGAATCTGCATTAATGCTTACTTGTGGTGGATATGGATCAGCAATCACAATGGAACCCAAAAAGGCCTTCTCTGATGTCGTCTTCTGATGTGAAGAGCCAGAGTTAGCAGCTGTGGAGGAAGGATAAGAGTTTGTGATCATGGGTTTAGTGGATGAAGGACTGCTTATTCCGGTGATCTGCGGCCGTAGCAGCTCCTTCTTCCGCTCAGAGGTGGCGAACATCAGGGACAAACATACATTAGGTTTCGCAGCAGTTATATGAAGCCGGTTCCGATCTGGCGCCAACAACAGCGGCAGGAAGCTAAGAAAGGATCGAGGTCCAACGAAAAGCCAGTTACGAAGATTTATGCCAATGATCTCCTTCAAACTTTCTTCGATTCCCGGAATTAGGTTGCAGAGGATCTCCTTCGGGTTTTCTCCAATCGGCCGAATTAGGTTTTCTAAGATTTGCTTGCCTGAAACAGCGGTGTCTCTATCAAGAATTTCATAGAAAGAAGGCAATGATGGAGAGTGGAGACCTTCGTAATTGAAATCAAACGAATTTACCGAAGAGCAAGAAAGCGACCGGCAAAGATTTGTGCCGACGATCTACTTCAACCTTTCTCCAATTGCCGGGAATTAGGTTTCTTCAGCTTTCCCCAAAGCAGACGGTTTTGGACTTCGAGGGAAGATTTTTTTTCTTCTTTCTGGGTGATATAATATAAGCAACAGAGTATAGTAAGTTTCTGGGTAGCCCAATTGCTTGCAAAAGCCCAAATGAGACAAAGGCCAGAACTACACTGAAAGCCCACACCCCCCTCTCTGAATTTGTTTTGTGTTCAAAAAAAATTCCATGTTGGTAGGAATTTAAACTTGAATTCAACATTTTTCATTTCTCCCGTCTAAGTGGCCCAACACTATCACCAAAGAAATGGGTAAAAAATAATCCGATTGGTGATTAATTTTCTGTCTGCTTGTCGTTCTCCTAGTTTGAAGTTACGTAAACATCTAACATAATGAGTACCTAAATTAAAATAAAATGAAAGAAAAAAGAGAATCAAGAATGTGGAGGGCATCGTGTCCAATTTTCTCCATCATTGTAATTATATTGATCTGTACTGAGAAAAAAGAACTAGGACACTATACGGGAGTTACTGAATGCTTATTCGTTGGATAAATTGTCATGATAAAAGAGTACATTTGATAATTTGCTTATATATAGTATATGAAACTTTTAACTTATAATAACAAAATACGAGTTGTCATTCTTTTCAACTTGAACACCATTGGAGTGATTAAAAGCACATAATTAACATGAGAAGCATTACAAATTCAATGGATACTATAGTCAATGCAATGCAATTTGAAAAATTCAAACACAATGATAATATTAATAAGGGAATCAATAGTGAAAGACGTAGACGTCGCATTTTACGACCGTGTTTCCCGTTGTAGTATTAAATGAATGCGTTTTGACATGAACCTTTCCACGAGCGAACCCGAACACTCCGGTGCCTCCGACGACCGGCATCTCCCTTATCCCGGCAGCAAGTATGTGGTTGCGTCCCAACACAGTGACGGTGCTTCCTCGGTACTCACCATCCGGCTTAAACACAAAGTTGAATAACTCCATAAAAGTCGCGTCGGTCCTGGAAGCTACGCCGTATAGCCCCTGAGCGCGTCCCACCGTGGTGGAGTTGAGCTCTGGGTCCAACGTCAAAGGGTTGTCCGCCATGGTTAACCGGCCAAACAAACCGGCGGGGTGGTTGAAATCTAGAGGGCCTTTAGGGTTGAGAGGCAGGACCGTAAAGTTTGGGCCGGCTCGAGAATACAACTCCAACTGTTAGTGTCAAAACCCTTTTCAATGTCGAGCTTTATGACTAATCCCGATTTCCCACTCCTCCACTGACTATAAATAATCTCTTTTGCAATGAGGCTGGCTTCGTGGGTATCAATCGACCCGTTTTCCCCCAAATTGATTTCTAGAAATGATTCCATTCATAAAGGGCTGGAGAGGGTTGAAAAGCAACTTTGAGATTACCTTATTCAGGCTGCCTAGCAGACTTATTGGTCTGAAATCAAATATTTCTTCGACAACTTCATTTTTAGGGATCAAGCATATGAAAGAATGAGTAATTGCTTGAGGAAGTGACCCCTGAGAGATAGTAATCATCCAAGCCTTAAGTAGATCAGATTTTATGATATTCAATCCTTTCTTGAAGAACTCAAGGGTAAATTCGCCAGGCCAAGGTGCTTTAATTTGTCCCCATTGCAAAGTCGGATAACCTCCCAAATCTCAGATTCTAAGAAAGGCTTCACAAGTGCTTCGTTCTCTTCATCTTTAAAAAAGAAAGGCCTATAATTCCTAGGAAAAGGCCTATTCTCTTCGCATTCAGAAAACTTTGACTAAAAAAATTTCCTCATTGCATATTTGATTACGTTAATGTCATTTGTCATACAATCATCGATTTTCAATCTCCTTATTATGTTTCTCCGCCGATTTTGATTGGCCACTCTATGAAAGAAGCCGGAGTTATTGTCTCCCACCTTGAGCCACAACTCACATGACTTCTGTCACCACGAGATCTCAAATAACAATATCTTTTCAAGGTCGCATTTCAGGAGAGCTCTTTCCGTTTTCAAAAACTCATTGATTGCTCCCGATTCTTCCACTACATCAATAGCTTTGATCATTGCCAAGAGTTCCCCAATCTTCCAGCTATCCTGTATATTATCCCAAAGTACTCCCTATATGTGATTTATCCTGCGGCCTTTGAAAAATCCTTGTAGTTCTTTTGTTACCTCAGTGACAATGATGTGCCAGCAATGTCTTTATTTATTCCATCACCGATGCTTGAGGTTTAGCCTCCCATCTTTCTTGCAACACTTGGTCACAGCCTTGATTTGATAACTTAATTAACACCACTCCAGCCATTAAAAGAACTAAAAAGTAACATCAGGAATATAACAAACTAAATGATTATCATAGCCAACCAATGCAATGAAAAAGAAAAAGAGTCAAACATAACAATAGTAATAATAATAATACTTCTGATAAGTGAATCAATAATGGAAAACGTAGATGTCGCACTCGACGACCACGTTTTCCAGTTATAGCATCAAAGGAATACGTTTTGAAATAAACCTTTCCACGTGCGAATCCGAACACTCCGGTGCCGCCGACAACTGGCATCTCCCTTGTCCCGTCGGCAAATATGGAGTTGTGTCCCAACACAGTGACGGTGCTGCCCCGGTACTCACCATCCGCGGTAAACACAAAGTTGAATAACTGCACAAAAGCCACCTCGCTCCTTGAAGCGACGCCGTAGAGCCCCTGAGCGCTCCCAACCGTGGTGGAGTTGAGCTCTGGGTCCAACGTCAAAGGGTTGTCCACCATGGTTAACCGCCCAAACAAACCGGCCGGGTCGTTGAAATCTAGAGGACCTTTAGGGTTGAGAGGCAGGGCCGTGACGTTTGGGCCGGCAAGGAGGTTGTGGTAGTAGAAATGGAGGTGGGTCAGCTTCTCATTCTTCAGCGCCATAGCTTTTGCCGACAGTTTGGCGGAGAAAGGATGCGATGACATTAATCTAGCCTCGGAAAGTAGAATGGAGAGGAGGAAGAGGGTGATCAGAACGGAGAAGAGGGAATATTGTTTCAGCAGCATTTTGGCCATGGAAAAAAAATGACTTGGAAGAAGTTTCAGAATGAAATTAAGTTTTGTATTTTTTTATGCTTGGACATGAAAGTATAGATTGCCTCTATTTATAGGAATAGATTGAAATGTGCAGGCTACTATATGAATTGGTTGAACTGTTCTTATGTAACTGCTAGAAAGTGCCCAAGGCAGCTTAATTAATTTTGTCTATTGCAATTTGTAGCCGTCTTAAGTTCTTGTTTGCATGGATTTGGGGTTTTATTATTTTTTCCCCCCGGTAATCGGCTAGTTCAAATATTCAGAGGTATTTTAATTGAAAGGCGTCATTTGCTAACCCGCTCATGGTTGATCTGGAGAAATGTTCAAATATTCTTATTGCTATTTATTATTATTATTATTATTATTTAATTGAAGAAGCACAGATGAAAGTTGGGGACAAGATATGGTGCAACACCGGCGCTTATTAATGTTAGCACTATGATAACATAATCATTAAGGGTATTATACAATGTAACTACCAGTCTACCACTTGTATGTCATAGCTCTACCTTCAATATGTTTGGGTTTTGACAGACAAATTACAGTTTGGTATTTAAACTTAATAAATGTTAAGACTTAGTACCTATAGTTTATTTTATGCTTACAAGTCCTAAAATTATTGGCGAAAACTTACATTTTAGTACTAAATTTTTTTTCATACATTTGTTACCTAAACTTTTTAAATTTTACAAGTAGATCCAAGTTTATGAGGTTTTTAGTACGCTTTAAGAAAATTTTGGTATATATGCTTTATAAGGTTTCTGGTATGTTTTAAGAAACTTGTGATATACTTTAATAAACTTGTGGTCTGGTTTATGATGTTTTGTAGTATGCTTTATGAGATTTCTGATATGTTTTAAAAAAAAAACTTGTTATGGTATGTTTTACGAAATTTGTGGTATGGTTTATGAGATTTTTTGTTAGTTTCACAGAACTTGTAGCATGCTTTATAAGCTTTCTGGTATGTTTTTAGTATTTGTGGTGTGCTTAGAAACTTGTGATCAGCTTTAATAAACGTGTGGTATGCTTTATGAGATTTCTGGTACACTTCAGAGAATTTGTGGTCCGCTTTAAGAAATGTGTGGTTCCATATACAAATTACAGACCTAAACTTAATAGATTTTAAGATTTAGTACCTAAAGTTAACTTTTTACATATAACTCTGACAAATATTGATGGGAAATTATATTTTAGCACCTAAAAGTTTTACTCTCGCATTTGATACCTGAAATTTTCACAATTTACAAATGCGTCCACACATGTGTGGCCCTAATTTTTATAATAGCAAGTATGCCTCTCTTTTTATAATTGTGGTTAACTTCTTAAAATAAAAAATCATCAAACCAAAATATTACTATTAACTGGAATTTGTATTAACATGATACTAACAAAAAGTGTTAACCTTCTAACCTCATCTCGTTATTATCAACTTGGCATTATTACGTACGTAATAGACTCACACATTGTAGCTTTCCATCATATACACCAACTTTGACTAGAAAGGAAATATCTGTTTTGGGATTTTTCCCCGTTGAACACTCTTTTGAGTTTTCATCTTGTGACTTCTTCTACTCTCTAGTCTCTTCTCTGTTTCCCTTTGTCCATTCATGTCCAATTAATTGGCTGCTTCCCCGTGGATGTATATATGGATACTTGATCTCTCTTTATGTTTCAATTCATCTTGTGACTTCTTCTACTCTCTAGTCTCTTCTCTGTTTCCCTTTGTGGTAATAAAAATAACACCATAACCATGTTTTATCATAGCCTTACACACTGGGGGTTTCTCGAAGTTGTTAGTTCTGTTAAGTTACGTACTTGTAATTTAGGGCTTGAAGCCCATGTACGTGTGGCTGCATGAGGCCCATGCATAGGACTTGAATAAGAACTTCATACGCTTCGGAATATGTATAAATACTTGTATCTCGGAGATTGCCGCACTTGAATAAGAACTTCATACGCTTCGGCCGTGGACTAGTCTTGATCACACCGATCAAGGAAACCACGTAAATACTGTGTCAAATTTCTGTTTCGTAAACTCTAACAAGTTCGGAGTTTCCCCGCAAAGAAAAAAAATATTTGTTAATAATTATGGGTAAATATAATTTATGGTGGCGTATTCGGCGCACCCACTTTTTTGGGTGCACTCAGTGCACCCGCCTCATAATCATCATTTTGAGCATGCGATTCATGTCAAAACAGTATCAATTGTTGCTTATGATATTATGAACAAGAAGCACGTGAATTTGAAAAAAAAAATCATTTAAAATTTACTTTAATTTGTAGGATTTAGGATTTAGGGGTTTAGGGTTAGGGTTTAGGTTTATAGTTTGGGATTTTGCATTGGGATTTAAAATTGAAGGCTAAAGGGTTAGAGTAATAGATTGATTTGTTATGATTCTATGGCACATCATCATATTAGATTGAGAATACTCATTAAAGTTCAAAATTTGATGTATATGGACACTTTTAGAGATGGACACTTTTAGAGATTGAGAAAATTTGATGTATATTAGATTGAGAATACCCAAAATTTTCAAATTATTAGCTAAAATATATTTGTTAAAATAGACAATGGTAGAGACATTCGTAATCATAATCAAACGAATTTAGCAAAGAGCAAGACAACGACTTGCAAAGATTTCTGTCGACGATCTCCTTCAACCTTTCTCCAATTGGCGGGAATTAGGTTTCTTGAGCTTTCCCCAAAGCAGACGGTTATGGGCTTCCCGGGAAATAAATTTTTTCTGGGTGATATAATATACGAGTGCGTTTCCGATTGTAGCATTATACGAGTGCGTTTTGAGATGAACCTTTCCACGTGCGAACCCGAACACTCCGGTGCCTCCGACGACCGGCATCTCCCTTATCCCGGCAGCAAGTATGGGGTTGCGTCCCAACACAGTGACGGTGCTTCCTCGGTACTCATCGTCGGCCGTAAACACAAAGTTGAATAACTCCACAAAATCCGCATCGGTCCTGGAAGCGACGCCGTAGAGCCCCCGAGCGCTTCCAACCGTGGTTGAGCTGAGCTCTGGTTCAAGCGTCAATGGGCTATCCATCATGGTTAACCGCCCAAACAAACCGGCCGTGTCGTTCAAATGGAGAGGGCCTTTAGCGTTGAGATGCAGGGCCGTAACGTTTGGGCCGGCAAGGAGGTTGTGGTAGTAGAAATGGAGGTGGGTCAGCTTCTCATTCTTCAGCGCCATAGCTTTTGCCGACAGTTTGATGGAGAAAGGATGCGATGATATCAATCTAGCCTCGGAAAGTAGAATGGAGAGGAGGGAATACTGGTTAAGCAGCATTTTGGCCATGGTACGTAAGAATGACTCTTAATACTTTTCTTGCAAAATGAATATAATATTATAAATCACATTTAACACAATTGTTCGGTATAAAGAAACGAAAATGCAACTCAACGAATGAACATTATTAAACGAGCAATTGTATAGATTTTAATTTTGAATTTAGATTTTAATTATTAAACAAGCAATTGTATAGATTTAATTCCGTTCCCCCTTCCTGAGGTTAAAAATTAGGAGTTATGCAACGGCTCACTTTTCCTTCTTGACTGTGTCATTGATCGACAGAAACTTAGAATGTACATTATGAAACCTCTCTCACCAACTCGAATTATTAAGGACCAAATAGTTATTGACATGGTATCATCGCTTTTTATTTGTGACCGAGAGGTCTTTTGTTGAAATCTCAATGATCTTTTGTTAGATTATCTAGGTATTTCGAACAGATGTAAATTTCAAGTCCATAAGAGATGACTTGCATTTTAGGGAACATGTTAGTATGTGGAACAAAATTTATTATTAAACCTCTCTGAATAACTCGACTTTTTGATACAAATATGTGTCAAGATGACACACTTAAAACCGTTTGTTAACCACACTTAAAAACTGAACTCGCAGCTCAATGTATAGCATTGCATTAATTCACAAATTATCAGAAAAAGATGCATCCTACATCCGATTCAACCATGTAACTCTTTCAACAACCGAAATGAATTTGGGTACTGGTTTTGGGAAGAACCCAAAACCGTCGAACGGATAGTGCATATCAATGAGAAAGTGACTTGACCACAAAAAAGGAAACCTGTTGGCCGTAGTTCGCTTGCATACAAGTGTAAATCCAATTCATTCCCTGCCCACATTATCACAATCATTGTATACTGAATTGACAGAGACACACACAACTGTTTCTTTGTAGGAGGCAAAGCTTGCGCCTCAAGTAAAAGACCCTGTGACAAATGCGCCTTCCTGATGACCCCAATGCCCCTGAAAACCAATTCACAGAAATGTTCATCTGTAACAGCTCCAATGTCTTTTTTACCTGTAAGTAGGGCAAACAAACAATGTCATTATTTGCTTGTTGCGGATTAGGAGAAAACCAACACAAGTAACCATAACTTACCTGGAACTCTGACTGTTCTTTCTGCTTTACTGTTGCCAATTATAAAATGACGCAAACACACTTGTTTTGTTTTGGTAGGTGTGCTGCTTTCTTATCTGCTACATCCAGAAAACAAATACCAGAGAAACACTTCTGCATTAGAAGTCGCCTGAAACTACTGAAGTGAGATAGATTATTGGTTATGCAATGTATGACACTATTAAAGCCTATGCTACAACAGAATACCATGAAGGAAGTAATAGCAGCCTGTGTATAGTCACAAAGATTAACGTCAAGTGAGATGAACCATCACCAAGCTCAGGGTTCTCAATCCATACAAAAAAGTGCGAGATGCGTGTGGTTTGAGAAGTTTCTTTAAATGCAAATATAACTTCTGGCAGAATCAGAGTTTCTTGAAGTGAACACAAAATCCTACCTTTCTCTATTGATGGGGGTTGAACAACTACGTGCATGGTTGTGACCCCACCAGGAACATCACATAGAGGACTGCGACATTCCCCTATGGTTCGTGTGTTCTCCAATATCCTTCCTGCACTTATCAACTTCACATCTTTCACCGTCCGTGGACCATTCTCTTTCTCTGTGATAGAAAAAGGCATTCAACAAATCTTAATACTCTCTCTGATCCAATCTGGTCCATTAACTAAACGAAGAGAAAGCACCAGAGTTGAGATCTCTGGAAATATAATTTAGCAATGATACATAAAGAAAGACCTACACCACTCCTTCAACTATAAATTATGTTCTCGGAGCATGAAGAATAACACAAAAGTGAATCTCTCTTTTATTCACAGCTGAAGCTGCCTCGATACATCAAAATCAGCTTCGGTTCAAAAGGCATTATGTTATCGAGCACACTACTCCAGATTGGTTGTAAGAGGGGAAAAGACCTGTCAATGGCTTCTTCCACAGTATAGTATGTTTTTAAGTTACCCTATCAAAGGTAGAGGCTGGACAAGAATCAAGGAGACTGGCTTCAACAACTGAGAGAAGAAAAAACACAATGGCCCAGAAGGGTGTGATGGCAATTACATGGCTCCCTGTTTGATACCACTACCTTTTTTATGCAACTCGAAGAAAATCAGTTTCTTTTCGCATAGTGGACCACTGCCATAGTGAGAAAATAAAACCAAGAGCAACTTCGAGAGGATGATAAGAACATGAAAAAACCATGAGAAGCCAAAACATTTATAACATATTTACAAGGAGCTTCTGCCCAAGGAATGCCACTATTAAGGTTAGCAAGGCCAGGATTCAGCTAAGCAAAGCACCAGAGCAGTGATATGCAGTATAAACATACACAAGGTGATCTTGGCGCTCTTTGTTTGGAGTTGAATATCTCCTTTTTCTGAATTTTTAACAACAAATGATAAGAAACTGTAGACACGGACCTCTTAAGCCCACATTCTATAACAAATGTCAATACATGAACAATGAAACAGACAACATGATTTCTCATTAAGCATAGAATGGAAGTTGGCATTACCTTTAGGCCATTGAGCAAGAACGGTTTCCTTCAAAGTTGCAACACTTGCAGCAGTGGGAAAGCTTTTGGGACCAATATCTGATCCATCTGTCAATCGAAATTTGATCTCTAATTGATCTTGTACCCCGGCCATGTCTTCGCGGATTTAACAACAACTGAGTTCCCAGAATCCAGGGAGCTACAGGATTTGTTGTTATCCCAATATCAACCACAGCTCAAACAAGCTGGAGAAGAAATTTGAACCTTGTAGTGTTCTCTAGGAAACAAAGGACTGATGAAGACTCTTGACTCGTTTAGCTTCCTGCCAAAGACAATACGTAAAAGGGGGTCTTCTTCAGTATCTTGCAAGTGGAAATTTTAGGAACCAGAAATGTAAGCTTGAATAAAGGACATATTTTAAGAATCGGATTTCTAAGGAAGGAATCATTCCCTGACATGTGAAAATCAGCAACCAAAACTCTGAAATTTCCCTAAAACTAACCATCATGATTGGCTCCAATTCTAATCAGATGCCTACTGCTTTGATTTCTTCCTGTTATGAAATTCTCATCGCTGCTACTAGTTGAATTCAAGGCAACAAAACAAGAAAACCCTGGAATTTAAAAACAATCATCGAAATAAACAGAGACTGTACATACAGGGAAGGAAACTGAAAAGGTCGCAAACTAAAAAAAAAAAAAACAAGAAAACCACAAAATTCTGCGAACTGGGTTCTACCACAAACCACATCTCCGCCCCCTCTTAATATCATAATCAACAAAGGAAAACGAACCCCTCAGTTCCAGAAAACTGTAATCACAGCTGCATCCGATCGAAGAAACTATTGGCAATAAATGGAATCGATCAGGCAAGGAAGATTAGGGGAGGGATTGAAATTGGGGAATGGGTTTTCTTACTTGGTGGCAGAACTGATCTGGGTGAATTGCTAACCGCTGGAAAGATTCGAAACTGTACAATTATTATGATGGGGACCGAGAAAGGGAAGTTGAAACAGGGTGTTGGGCTTCAGTATACAGCAAGGTGAAAGAAACAAGAAGAGGAAGGAGCAGAAGGAGAGGGAGAGATTAGAAATAAACGAAAAGGGAAAGAAGTAAATAAACGAATCTGCAGCGATGGGAAAGAGGGAAGAACTAAGAAGAAGAAAGGTGAGGGAAGAAGGAAGGAGGAGGCGTTTTCGGAGTTTTTTAAGTTGTTCCCATTTCTAAAAAATAAAAATGGTCAGAAAATTAAAAACAAAAAACTTGCATATTATTTTGTGCGCAATCAATTCTCAATTCAATCCCCATGTCCATATCTGGCGTCTACCTCTCTCCCTTGCCTTCTTTTCCATCTTCTCCTACCTTCCTCCTATGACCATGGAAATGGACTTCCATTTCCTTCTTCGTTTATTTTGTTTCTTTGTTTCTTTTTATTTACTCCTCTTCATTTTTTATGCTTGATCTTGGGCCTGAGAAAACTTTTGCCGTCCTTGGCTAAAAGGGAACGAGAAGAAGAGGTTATTGACTTTTCGTCACACTCCTTCAATTTGTTACTTTTTACAAACAAGTCCTCCAACTTTTTATGGGCTAATAGGCATTAGCATAAAACTGATAAAAGCTCACAAATGACAAACCTATTCACTTTGTGTACAAAATGGTTACAAATCTTTCATTTAGTACGTTTCAATAACATATATTTTGACTAATAACAAAAAGGTAAGTTTGTCCATCTCCATCCAAAATATCGTTAGTTTTGTTCGGTCAGCAAGCCATGTGACTTAAAAAATTTGATCTAATCTTATTATTAATGGTATGCAAGTAATATGCAACCTCTATATTTATGATTAGATGTCCTACCCAATCATTTGTTGTGAGTTTCTGTTTTATATTGGCATCCTACTTTGGGAGGAAAAAGCATGTATTTGCTTTACTTTGAATTAATTTAATATGAGGATCTTTAGATAAAAGTGATGACACTACAAGATTCAACAATACTTGAGTGGTTGGTCCATGTGTTGACAACTAATTTATGAAAGGATTCTAACCAATCATTCGTTGAAGTTTGCTTGTTTATTTATGAATTCACAATTAACAATTTGAACCATTAACATAACAATTACTTCATTTATGTTAATAAAACTTTTTGTCCAAAATATCCAGACACCTATTTCAGTTCAACTCATCGATGATAGAAGGAGCCAAATAAAATTCTAATCAACCAATACGATATAATTCATACCCAATCAAAATCAAACCATATTCATATTAGTTTTTAACTCACACTGTATTAGGATCACACTCACTCTTCCTCCCTTATCTAATGGTCAATCAGAAGCCCCATAGAACTTTTTCACATTGACAAGAAATATTGCAGACAAATACATAGCCGCCAATCTTTAACACCAACGAGCGATTAAAAACACTAAAATTTAACATGAGAATTATAACATGAAGAAGAAAAAAAAGCTAAACATAACAATAGTGATAACAACAATCATAAGTCGATCAATAGTGAAACACGTAGATGTCACACTCCACGACTGCATTTCCCGTTGTTTTATTAAAGGAATGCGTTTTGAGATGAACCTTTCCACGAGCGAAGCCGAACACTCCGGTACCGGCGACGACCGGCATCTCCCTTGTCCCGGCGGCAAGTATGGGGTTGCGTCCCAACACAGTGACGGTGCTTCCTCTGTACTCACCACCATGGGCCGTAAACACAAAGTTGAACAACTCCACAAGAGCCGCGTCAGCCCTGGAAGCGACGCCGTATAGCCCCTGAACCCGTCCCACCGCGGTGGAGTCGAGCTCTGGATCCAACGTCAAAGGGTTGTCCGCCATGGTTAACCGCCCAAACAAACGGGCCGGATGGCTGTAACCTAATGGGCCTTTAGGGTTGAGAGGCAGGGCCGTAGCGTTTGGGCCGGCAAGGAGGTTGTGGTAGTAGAAATGGAGGTGGGTCAGCTTCTCATTCTTCAGCGCCATAGCTTTTGCCGACAGTTCCGTCGAGAAAGGATGCGATGACATCAATCTACCCTCGGAAAGTAGAATGGTGAAGAGGAAGAGGGTGATCAGAACGGAGAAGAGGTAATATTGTTTCAGCATTTTGGCCATGGTATGGTAGAATCAGTATTAATGAAAGAACTCTTTGAAGAATGTATGTGCTATAGCTAACTGAAAGCATTTTTTTTTATCTTCTATGTTTGGACATGAAGGTATAAGATTGCCTATCTCTATTTATATGCAGTGGCGGATCCAGGGGAGGGCACCCCGGGTCACGGCGCAGCCCTCTTCTGGATCCGAAGCTAGTATAGCCATTATGAGTTTATCGATTGTAGTCATGATTCGGCCCAGTGTATTTTATAATAAGATTGTGTGTAATTAGGAAAATGGGTCAGATGAACATATTCAAAACACAGATTTGAATTTAACCTGAAAATTCTAACTCCAATGATTCTCGTCTAAAGAAAAACAAGCAATGAAACCTAAAATTCTAAAAGTAAAAAACGTAAAAGACTAAAGGAAATATGGGGTTTGTTCACTTAAAAAATTACTAGGGTAGCTGGTGAAAATAGGGATTGACACACTATATATATTGATTAGTCGATTGATTTGTCTATTGTTGACATTGCTCGTTTCAACAACTACGGGGAGAACCTTTTCAACAATGAAATAGGTGAAAAATTATTTGCGTAATAAAATGAGCGATGAATTCCTCGCCAATTGATTAACTATTTTATCTTAAAGAGAGTATGCTATTGGTATGGATGTAGACTCCATTATTGATGAATTCACTATATTAAAATGATAAAAGATTGACGTGTACAATTGATATTGTAAAAAAAATTATGATTTTCTTACGGTATCTAATTTTCTAATGAAATGCGGCCTAGTGCTCTACTGTGTCCTGGATCCGTCGCTGTTTATAGCTAGAAAGCGCAAATCTCTTGGCAGGGCCTGTTTACTTTAATTTCTATTTCTTGTTTTTGAGAAAACAGATGTTGAAAACAGGTGAAAACAACATTTTTCGTTTTCGAAAACAGCAGGAATTTGCCACTTTCTGTTTTCATAGTTGGAAACGAACAGAAAACAGAATGAAAGATAAACAAGTTTTCTCGTTTCGATTGCCAAATTTATAACATAAAAACAGAAAACAAAAAACGAAAACGGAAGCGACATTATCCAAGGTTCGATCCCCGGAATGAACCTTAGACGGCGGCATGATCCACTGCACTTGCAAAAAGACAAGCATAAGTGACATGACATCTTCAGCTTCACTCGGGGAAAAACCAAACGAGAAACCTTCAGAGAATGTAGGAGCCTAGGAGGGCCATGAAGCAAATTACATGACCAACCGTGTACACACATGCTAGGAAGAATAGATAAGAAACATTGATAAAAATAAAATACAACTGCAAGAAGATAACTTGCAACAAACTTTTTGCAGATAAATTGTTAGTTTGTTCACTAGAATTACTTATAAAATTTATGTTTGTCACTAAAATTAATTTATTTCACTTGTAGTCAGTAAGATTAGTACTTTATTTCAAGTTTGGTCACTCTCTGTTAGTCTTCGTTAACTTTATCTGACATGACAATTAACTTTGAGAGTTGACCGTTAAAAAAGTGACGTGACAATTAAAAATTAATAAAAAATAAAACTAATTATTTTCAAAATTCCAACCCATTATCACAATAAATTCCATCCCACCACCACCAGGGGTGGACCTAGGGCTAGGGAAAGGGTGTCGTCCGACACCCCTCCGCCCGAAAATTTTGTGAAGGATCTCCATTTTTTTGTATAAAAAAATTTATTTTGAAACTTCCGACACCGCTCTAATATAAGCGACACACCTTCATTATATGACAATAGTTTTTGTTTATGCCAAGTCACCTGCCACTCCCCACTGGCTCCCACGCTCCGTCTATCCCCCGCACGCTTCCGCGCCGCGTCCTCCTCCTGCACACCAAAGGCGCCCACCGAGCCCCCTTTACAAGGGCTCCTTAGCACTCCGACGCCCAAGTAAGAACGAACTTTCTAGAGAGAGAAGCGGGATCTGAGTTTTAGAGAGAAGTTCTAACCTGAGTAAATGAGCTCCACCCACTTCACTATTTATACTCGAGATAGGGTCGACCACTGCCCCCCAAATCCGCCCCACGTCATCACCTCATTAAATGCACTGTACCTTTCCCCTTTCATGCGCCCCGACACTCTGACACCGCTTTTTGCCATGGAGGCGCATGGCCCCACCTCTTGTCCCCTCCGTACGCTTTCGGCCGTTGCCACCCTTTTGTCGCCATGCGCCCTTCCTCAGGCCCGGTCCCACCGACTGGACCACAGCCTCTAGCCCCTTTTTGGGCCGGGCCTTCTCCTTGCCAGGCCCACACTTCCAGCCCATTTCGACCCCTTGGGCCCCTTACTTGGGCCACTCCTTGTATGCCCCCAACAGTTTTAATGTTATAAAGTTATTCATCATAATTAGTAATTAGCAATAATAGGTAAAATCAAATAATCATGTTTGTTTGAAGTAACCCACAAACCAATTTAACTTGTCAATTTGTAGTTAATAGGTGAATTACGTAGATTTATGGGAGATTGTGGTTTGATTTTGGTTAATTTGGTAGAACTAGAGAAAAGATGCTAATGATATTGCTTTAGGCATCCTTTGTTTTGTCTAAAATTATCAATTGGTAGATCGTGGTTTGCTATATTTGATTGTAAACTAATTTATTTTAATCTTTGGTTGAGTGACTAATTTATTAATGATTATTAATTGTCACGTCAAATAAAGTTAACAGAGAGTGACCAAATTTGAACTGTTGTACTAATTTTAGTGACTACGGATGAAATAAATTAATTGTAGTGGCAAACGTGAACTTTGTAAGTAATTCCAATTACAAAACTTGCAATTTACTCAACTTTTGCTTTCATTTTCGTTTTCTGAAAATGAAACCTAATGGAAACGGAAGCTATCGTTTCCTGAGAAAAAAATATGAAATCTTAAAAATGAAAACTTGTTTAGCTACAACTTTTGTTTAGTTTCTGAAAAACTGAAACCTGAAGGATAGTAGATTGTTTGAAATTAAAGTATGCAAAAGTTGAACGATCTATTTAATAAATGATAAAGTCAAATTTTTAAATATAAAAAAGGAGAAGGAAATTTATTTTATTAGAGAAGATATGATATAGGTATACATATTTTTAGTGACTTTTAAAATCAAATCTAACCTATTGTTTAATATAAATGAATTTCATAAGTTTTTAGGTATTTATTTTGAAATGATATATTTTTTGTTTGAAATACAAATGAATTAATTTCCATTGGTAAATTTTGAATAAGCTAAGTAATGGTCACATTTTTACTTATTGAACTCTATGTCATGTCGTTGGTGCATG